GATTTCCAAATTTTTTGGAATATACCATTCCACTGTAAAGAAAATAATCTACAAATGGTGTAGATTTCAAACAACTGCCAATTTGTCCAGCATTGGCAGTACATACAAGAAAAGCTCATTTTCCTTGTGGTTTTGTTGAAGTATATCAACTTCATTAATAGGCACTGTTTCAAATATGATCAAATGTTTAAATATGTAATAAATAAATAAATAAATAAAATAAATAACAAAAAATAAAACCTACAATTTCCTTGGGGTGTACTTATTTCAAATGACGGTATCTATAGTATATCTTGAACATGTAAATGCTACATTAAATGAAATAAAGTTCTACATATATATGCTACAAAAAATGTCCTCATGCAAATTGTACCTGTTGCCATTTTAAAAGCCAATGACATTGGTTGGGAACATTTCACTCAAGTAGCAATACATGGTGTAGGTGAAAGAGCTTCTGGAAGTTCTCAAGGACAACATTCTTAAACAACGGTTGAATGGAAAAAGACATACAAAGACCTTAAACAAATCTGAGTTAGTATCTGAATTATAGTTTTATTTAATGTTTTAAAAATAAACTGTTGAACACTGAGAAGGAAGCAATCCACATCTGTAATAGAATTTTAGCATCTAACAGTTCAATACAAAACATTAACCTCAGATCAGGTCAGAGTTTGTCATTTTTTTAAAATGATAAAAAAGATAACTGTAATATCTGCATAACTGTATTGTGCATTTTACAATGAGATTATATTATTATATTGCCCAGCTGAACTGAGGAGGAAGCAACTCTTAACAGGTATTTAATTTTGCTTCCTTCAGTAATTTACTCTGAATATCATCATGCATTTTCCATTTGAGTTAACAAAATTTTTTTGTTAACTACTACACTCCTGGGCAAAAAAATGGGCCAAGCCTAAAATGGCAAAATATTATGCTTTTAATGGTCTTAACAACATATAATTGGTCAGGAAATTAGCAAGAATTAAACAAACAGATAATGTAACTTAATATGGGAAAGATTTTCCCTTTGAAAAATTTAAACATTTAAGCCTTATGAGTACACTTCCAGACAGGTTTTCATTTATTTTTACTTTATTTTTTATTTTGTACACCCAGACATGTGTTATTTTGAATTTTGCATCAAACATTTTAACCATTATCATGATTTTACCTTTGCACACAAGAAGACTACGGCACTTTTCCACTGCACAGTATAACTCGACTCGATTCTGCTCCCTTTTTGGAGGCTTTCCACTGTGGATAGTACCTGATACTTTTTTTAGTACCACCTTAGTCGAGGTTCCAGGTGAGCTGAGCCGATACCAAATGTGAGCCACGCTCGGAGGGAGAATGGAATTCTCCTTAACGAATGGTTCTGTATTTTGCCTGAATAAATGTGTAATTTAATACATACTTTGCATAAGGTGATATTCTATTAATTGAAAATTACCGTAATTTCCGGACTATAAGCCCCTACTTTTTTCACACGCTTTGAACACTTAAACGATTGATGCAGCTAATTTATGGATTTTTACGGGCTAACGAGTTTCATGCTACCAAAACATTTAGCCTCGTCACATCGGACAAATTAAATTACCCAACAGGTCACAGTGGACCAATGAAACTGTTCGAATTAAACCTAACGCGCTCACACTACATTCTTCAGATCAGTCATTTTGCGCTTCATGCACACAACCCTCATCAGGGAAAACATAGGAAGAAATGCATATTGGTTGACGTCATGTCTCCGCCCCGTCTTGTCATGTGTTGTCGAGTCACGTGCGTTTTGGTATTGCCCGCAGCTGTTAGCAGTTCGGGCTAATATGGCTGGTGTGTATATATACTGGGAGCCATGACACACACAACGTGGGTAATTAGTTATAGAGTTAGAATTAGATAGCAAATATAGTTAGAGTCTTTGTTCATGCTATGTGTCTTAGTTCTTGTTCATGTTTCATAGCCCTAGCCATAGTCCATGTCTGAGTTCATGTCAAGGCTAGTTAGCTTATAGCATAGCTTATAGCTTATCCTGTAGCCTAGTAGCTTATAGCTTAGCCTGTAGCCTAGTAGCTTGTAGCATAGCTTATAGCCTAGTAGCAGATAGTATAGCTTAGAGTTGTATAGACTTAGTTTAGAATATAGATGTAGAAGTGGTTTATAGAGTATAGATATAGAGTATTTGTTCCATGCCATGTCCATGTTCATAGTCATTGTCACATTTCATGTCATAGTTAATGTTTAGGTGAGTTGGTTTAGTTAGCTTAGTTCATTGAGTTGGTCATGGTTCTTGTTTCTCTTGAGTCTGCTCTCCTCTGTTTCAATAAAAGGTCTCGTCCTAAATGCACTTGATCCGTCCTGCTTCGTTTACGTCACGAATCGTGACAGTTACAACGTGGACACCTGCGGATTATAGAGAAGTGCGGCCTATATGTACAAAAAAAAAATTTAGTTTTAAAGTTAGCGGGTGCGGCTTATATTCAGGTGTGCTCAATAGTCTGAGAATTACGGTATGTATCATTTATCTCGTTACAGATAAAATTACAACAAAAGTTTCTGTCTGAGATTTTTACATCGCGCTTGTTACCGATTTCCAAACAGGCGTTTATCGAAGTCACTCCTGTCACGGCCGGCTGAATCTAACTTAGTCATACTGAGCAGGTAGGTCTAGCAGGTTCTTATTTTACATCCTTAATAGGGTCCATGTTCAGTGAACAGGAAAGGCATTTGGAATATGGCCTGACTGTGTATTTGTACAGGGCTTCTGTAATACAACTTTTTTATACGTGAAGGCGAGTGTAAGATGGCGCCTACATTGAAGCGGCACTGCAGTGGAAAAGCAAGCTCAGAAAAGTAAAGCGAGCCGGGTCGAGTCGTGCCATACCATGCAGTGGAAAGGTGGCTTAAGTGACCAATGATTTGTTGTTAAGATAATTAAAAGCTTTATAGTTTACCGTTTGGGGCTTTGCCCTTTTTTGCCCAGAAGTGTATGCATTTCATTAGGCTGAGTACATGCTATCTCTGTTGCTGGTTTTACTGGTTGTGGAGTGTATGCCATTATTTCTATTCCACACATGAGTTCACATCTTGTTAGATTAGCAGTGCTTCAGCCTGGGTAGATGGCATCAGAGAGCTATGGCTGGAAAATCCCCAGTAGTCATTTGTAGTAGCAGTCTGGGGTGTTTGAGCTAGCGTCCTTTGAGAGCCATCCCTCATACAACACACACTGATGAGGCTGCAACATACTGCTGGCATTACACTAGAGCTTTGTTTTGAGGTTGGGAATAAAAAAGGTTTTTGAAGATTTTTTTGGACATGCCTTGGAGGAATTTTAGATGGGACCAGGCTAACAAGCAAATGTCAAACAATTTTTATTTTGTAAAAGAAGAGGGATATACTTGAAACAAAGAAGGAGTCGTATACACATCACACCCCAAGTATTTCACTGTATAATAAACACAAGACCATAGCTAAGTGGTTCCCAATCTCATCCATGGAATCATAACCATCTAAGTGATGACAAATGTGTGTGTGTGTGTGTGTGTGTGTGTGTGTGTGTGTGAGTATAGAAAAATAATGGGTAATTTATTTTTTTAAGTGTTTCACATTTCGGACTTTACATTTTATCCCACAAAGAGTCCTTTCTTTTCACAATCCCTTTAACTCTCACATCCTTAGACCAGCCTGCCTCTCTTTCAGTGTCGAATCCTTGATGTTCAGCACACATGTATCTCCTTCTTCTGTTACAGCTCGGGTCTTACTAAAATGATGCCTTCTCTCCTGTTGCCTCTGTATCTCTCTCATTTACCCTCTCAGTTTCTCAGATTTGCCTAATCTTTGCCTTTATCTCTAACTATCTGTATCTAGCTGTATTCACACACTGCAATTTCAGAAGGTGTGGATCAGAGGGATGAATGGTGGAAGAAGGTGATTCAGTGTTATAAGGATATGACTGAGTGCTGGACTATGAAAAAATGGAAGAGAATAGGCCAATTATTGAATAAGATCTTGATGATATTCACAATCGCTTTCTCTCCAAATGCATACCCATCACATCCTGCCTTTACTTTGTTAGACATGACAGGTTGACTTTTGCGCATTCAAGACTACTCATGGATACAATCAGTGATTAGAAATGGGAGCAGAAAATCAAAACACGCACAGGTTTTGTAATTGGTCATGGAATAGAGAGCCTGCATGAATGACTTAAACATAAATGCAAATGTAAATTAACTAATGTTTGAGGTCTATTTAAAAACTGGATGTGTATCTGAATTTTCATTTCATCTTTTTGTTTGTCTCCCCTGATCCACCTTCCGATTACTCACTACATTTTCAACACGCTCTGCACTGCTTTATCAGCTCCTTTAGTTCAAACTTCTGCATGTTTTTGAGAAAGTGCAGGTGTGTCAAATACTACTCTGCATCTCTCAAATTAATCTTTCACACATTCACTCGTGCCATGGAGCAGAGCGAGCAGAGCTTACTAAAGCCAGAATGAAAATGCAGCAGGTCTACTGCATAAATAGCTTTGATTGTTCTTTAATAGAAAGTTTTGTTTATATAAGCAAGATCAAGCAAGCATGCTAAGTGAGCTCAAATAGTATTAAAATCTATAGAATTTCTATAGATCTATAGAATCATATGTTTCATGATTTGGATTTTTCTGCTTGCCAAACTACAGATCATTTTAACACTAGAGACTCCTTCCATAAATGCTCTCCTTACAGAAAACTTTTATTTTAATATTGTTCTTAGAATTTTGTTATTAATTTATTATTAGGCTTAGATTGTTTGGGATTATATGAGCTGTTGCTTTACAAACTAAATGTTATGACAATGAGTCTTTATTGGTCACATATACATTATAACTCAGTAATTATTTTCTTTGCATACCCCAGCATGCCAGGAAGCTGGGGTCAGAGCGCAGGGTCAGCCATGATACAGCATCCCTGGAGCAGAGAGTGTTAAGGTTCTTGCTCAAGGGCCCAACAGTGGTAACTTGGCAGCACTGGGGCTTGAACCCTGACCCCCGACCTTCCGATCAGTAACCCAGAGCCTTAACCCCTAAGCCACATCTGCCCCCAATAAATATAAAATGTCAATTGTTTGAATTATAGCTGGCACTATTGTCAGATCTTCTGACCAATCCAATTTAAGAAGTAAAGAGTGTTTTGTTTTAATTATTTGGTGGTTGCATAAGATGAAAAACGGTCATAAATTTTCATGTCATAAATCCATCCAACCATTTTCTGTACCACTTATTCAACAGTGGGTCACAAGGAGTCTGGACAACTATTCCAGGAAAGTCAGGGACAGGCGGGGGACACCCTGGACCGGGTGCCAACCAATCACGGGACGCACACACACACTACAGACAATTTGGAAATGACAAGCAACCTACAACACTAGTCTTTGAACTTGGTGAGGAAACCCCCCTGAAGCACAGGGAGAATATGCAAACTCCACACACACAGAACGGAGGCAGGATTTGAACCCCCAACCCCGGAGGTGTGAGGCAGTCGTGCTAACCACTAAGCCACCGTGCCCCCAAATATTATGGATATTGGCCCAGGAATTAAAATCAGAAGAAGGCTATATAAACAGAAGGGACAGTATTTATGTTACTGCCTCTGTAAAATGTCCTCAGGTGTGCTGGGCACCAGTGCATACAGCAGAAAATCTCTTCCAGCTATAATGGATTGCTTGACTGTGATTCTTCTGAAAAGTCATCCATCTGCAGTCGGGCTTTTGCTTTGCATTAGGCCCACCACATTCATTATCATATCAGTTAATGCAATTATATGCAAATGACCCCACGCAGCAGCCATGTGTATATATCAATTACGGTGACAGCAAGTCGAGTGCAACATGGGATATTAAGGTAATTCCTTAAGCGAATAGATTGCACCTGAGAAGAACAATAAACACATGAGAAGCCAGGACAAACGGTGCAAATCAGCAAAAGACAGCAAGTCCACCCTCAAGAAAGGCTGGAAAATGCACTTTATCAATCCTTGATCTTGTACTGCCTCATGCCAGCACAATTTGGCCTTTTTCTTATCTTGATTTTGTAATGAGGGAATGAAGAGCTAATTGCACTTCAGTTGAAAGGTTCCTTTTGGAATCATGACACGAGAGATGTTTTCAAGCAGGAAGCACTGGAAATAGCTGATAAAGCTGATGGGTAAGACAGCATTTGCTCTTACATTCAGCATTCCTTATAGACTTTTTATACTAAATACCTTGACAAAATGCCCAATGTAGATTCCAGGTAATGTGAATTTAATCTCAGATCCCTCTGGGGCACTGGCAGCCCCAAGCAGGTTCACTGGTGCTAGCCCTGGATTATGCTCCCCCATAGCATCCCTGAATTGTAAAAGTCCTATTAAATTAATTTAAATATATGTTTAAACGTGAATTCAAAAACTTAATTCATCGTCAGTAACCTGGTGAGGGCTAAAGCACCATACACCTGGTGAGCACCATACACACATATTCACACCCTCATTCACACCTAGGGACAATTCAGAGTCACCAATTCCCTTATAAGTATGTTCATGGAAGGCAAGCAGGGAAAGGGTGAACCCAGAGGAAGCTCACACAGATATGGAAGAACATGCAAACCACACCCCAAGATCAGAATCAAACTGGGGACCCAGGAGCTATGATGCAGCAGTGCCACCCTCTGTGTCACAATTTTAAAAAGTATATATTCAACCAGTTAAACAAACAAGAGTTTGGTCTAGTGTTGCTCTGAGAAATGAAATGTCGACATGTTTGAAGCACATTTTTGGCTGGTGGAAATCAATCAGAAACCAAAAACACTGTCAATCAGTTATTTTTTTGTCAGAAACTGTCAGTTGATATTTTATCAATAATGGGTGATTAGGATCACAGATAGGCTTTATTCCAACAGTTTTTCCAATATGTGTTTCACACTAATATGTTCTGTAATCCAAATAATCTAAAGATTAAAAAAAATAGTATTCCTGGTGCTGCCACTGAACTGAGAAGTCTGTTTTTTCAACCTCTAACTTAATAAATGTCATGTGATAATGTTATATACAAATAGTCTAGGAGGTTTGTGTGGGTGTGTTTGAAATCTATACTAAGTGGCTCACTGCCTACAGCCTATATGCGGTATCTGAGCGTGCTGTGTGCCTGAGCTGCGGGTTGAAGCAGGACACTGAATCACAGCACAGATGGCATGGGCTCTAAATGGATGGAGCTGTAGCCCCACTGCGAGCGGTCACAGCAACAAAGCCCCAGAGCAAACAGCTCGACCTCTGATTAAAAACCCAGCCTTGGAGCTGTGAAGCAACATCATTTTCACTGACTAAACACAGCCAAGTCAGCAGTTCCTAGAATGAATGCCTTTGTTTCAACTGCAGCTAAAATCGTTTCTTTTTCATCAAAGTTTTCATATCTACTACTGATTTTATAGGATTCTATAAGGACTAATAAACATAATTAAACTTCAAAGCATGCATGACTACTGTAAATAATAGCCATGATATACAGTTCCATCTGAAACTACCGGAATTACAAGGCGAGTTTATTGGTTTTTGCTGTAGATATTTGAGACATTTCAGTTCGAGAACAAACAATGAATATGGGAAGAGAGTTTAAAATTTCAGTTATTATTTCCTGGTATTTTTATGTAGATGTGTTAAATAACAGAGGATAGCACATTTTGTATCAGACCACCCATATTTGAGCAAAAATTCTGGAACATGTGACTGGAAGGTGTTTCTTGTTACCCAGGTGTGCCCTGTTAGATTGATTATTTTAAAAATAAAAAGCTCTGAACAACTATTCTTGGTTTTACCCTTCAATTTCACGAGTGAAGACAGTACTTGTTAAAAAGGATAAGGCAACATGAAGATCAGAGAGTTGTCTATAGGAAAAAAGCAAGCCATTTTGAAGATGAGAAAAGAGGGAAAATCAATCAGAGGCATTGCACAAACAATATGATTAGCCAATACAACAATTTGGAATGTCTTGAAAAAGAAATAAACCACTGGTGTTCTGAGCAATAGACACCAAATGGGTTGGCAAAGAAAAATAACAACAGGCAATGACAGAAACATTGTGAGAACTGTTAAGAAAAACCTAAAAACAACAGTCAGTGGCATCTCTAACAACCTCCACAGGGCAGGGGTGAATGTATATCACATTCCACCATGTGCAGAAAACTTCAAGAGTAGAAATATAAAGAAGCCATACCACAAGATTCAAACCACTCATCTGCAGTAAGAATCAGAAAGCCAGATTGGAATTCGCAAAGAAATATAGAGAGGAGTCATAAAATTTCTGGAACTAAGATTAACCTCTACCAAAGTGATGCAAAGGACAAAGTGTGGAGAAAGAAAGGATCTGCTCATGACCTAACACAATCAAGTTCATCTGTGAAACATTGTGGAGGTAGTATCATGGCTTGGGCTTGAATGACTACTTCTGAAACAAGCTCACTGATCTTTATTAATGATGTAACTCATGATTGTAGCAGCATCATGAATTCAGAAGTTTTCAGGAACATTCTGTCTGCCAATTTACAGAGAAATGCATCCAAATCAGTAGGGAGGAACTTTATCATGCAGCAAGACAATTAACCAAAACACACTGCCAACTCAACAAAGCACTTCATCCAGGGGAAAAGTGGAAGGTTTTAGACTGGCCAAGTCAATCACTAGACCTTAACCCAATTGAGCAGCATTTGCAGACTGAAGGAAGGAACCCCCCCCCCACAACAAACAACAACTGAAAGAGGCTACAGTACAAGTCTGGAAAAGCATCACAAAAGAGGGAATCAACAATTTGGTTTTGTCAATGAGTGACAGGCTTGATGCAGTTAGCAAGGTATATGCAACCAAATATTAAATGTTATTTACTTCAATTTACTTCAAGACTTCTGTTCCTATACTTTTGCTCACCTAAAAAATGTGTGGTCTGATACAAAATGTTCTATGTTTTATGTTGTTTAACACACAAGTGTTAAATTGGTAGATTGATGGTTAAAGCTCTGGGTTACTGATCAGAAGATCAGGGATTCAACCCCAGCACTGCAAAGCTGCGGTTAAAGCTCTGGGTTACTGATCAGAAGATCAGGGGTTCAACCCCAGCACTGCAAAGCTGCCACTTTTGGGCCCTTGAGCAAGGCCCTTAACCCTCTCTTCTCCAAGGGCACTGTATCATGGCTGACCCTGCACTGTGACCCCAACTTCCTGACATGCTGGAGTATGCGAAGAAAATAATTTCACTGTGCATATGTATATGTGATAAATAAAGACTCATTATTATTGCACGTAATTACCAGGAAATAAAAGTTTAAATCCTAAACTCTCGTCTCATATCCATCTTTTGATCTCAAACCCAAAAGTCTTTAATGTATAGCGAAAACAAATCTGTCACAATAGTTTCAGACGAGACGGTAAAATGAAATTTCTGCGCTTTGCCAAGACATTTCTGTTTAATTACAAAAGACATAATATGCATACTGTGCTTCCTACAAATCTAACAACCAACATTTCATGTTTTGCTTCATTTGTTTCTGAGTATTCCAAATTATATACATGCTAAAAATTCATGTGAGAAATCAATTACATCCAGCTACTCCCAGCTCTAAATTTTTAAAAAAATTTAAATTTTATATCTTTATGTTTGAAGCCTGAAATGTGGCAAAAGGTTGAAAAGTTCAAGGGGGCCGAATACTTTCGCAAGGCACTGTATCGCTTTGGTCAGATCATTAAAAAGCCGCACAGGTGAGTTTATTAAAACTGAAATAAAAGCAATACTTGTAAAGAGCAGCAATTTATCTGTATTGTAGGTTCTGACATTGTCATGTAGGAGTGGGGCCTGGGGCCAGAGACTTAACACAGCACATTGTCTGCTGGTAGAATTTCAGATCTGGTGATGGTTTTGTGATCTGTTCTGCATCACTGCAAGAGCTTGCAAGCTTTATAAAGAAGAGAGAGAGAGATGAAGCAAAAGAGAGAGGGAAAATACTGGGGGTATCCAGCGTCCCCTGGCTCACTGAGCAGCTAAGCTAGCATGACAACACAAACATGGGCCACAGCCATT